AGCCCACCTGAGACTCTTTGGTGGGCTGTGCAGAATCTATGCCGGGCCCTGCCAGCACAGTTCTTTTACCTGGCACGGGAAATCCCGCCTCCTCCGCTGCCTCGTGCCCAATCGTCACATCTTCACCACCTGACTGGAGCTCCAGCGACGCCTCCCGCCTCTTCCATTGCTGTCCCAGGACTCGATGAGGACTACTATTGGAACATCTACTCAGGCCCTGCAGATTATTTACCATGTACACCCAGTTACACACCACTGCCCCCAGCCGACTACTTGCAGTCGTGTAAGCATTTCACTGCATATCATACTTGTACGATTGTGTATGTGTAGATGTTATTCATTGGCCGAGACCTGCTAGAATACTCTGGCAGGTGCCGGCCAATAAGAAAAAGTATTGGGCGGAGCTAGCTGTCACCGCCAGCTCCGCCCAGTTGTTTTTCTTTTTTCTTCTTATCCTTAAAATATTTTAATTTTTTTATAATTTTCTAAAATTATTTTCAACTTTTATTTATTTATTATTTTTGCATTTTTTTTCCGCTCACTGCCGTTCGGCCCCTATGAGAATATATGAGAATAGGGGAGAACGGCAGCGAATGAGCTGCTGGAGCTCCGGCTCAGCCAATGATTGAAAGTGTGTTACTGGCAGGATCACCAGGTGAAAATAAAGGAAAGAAGCCTGAAAAAGAAAACTAGTGACACCATGTTAAAGGAGAACTCTGAGGGGGAGGGGCTTTCCACTCACCTCATAGTTCTAGCCGACCGTGGGAGGACGCTAGTTTGTGTCCCCCCGTTACCCTGAGAACTATGGGGGAAAGCCTTAACCCCATAGTTCTCCTTTAAGGAATGAAAGGTATGGGGGGAGGGGTGCAGACACATCTACAGACCGGAAGGTACGGGGGAGAAGGACAGCCTCCACATCTACAGACCGGAAGGTATTGGGGGGGTGTAGCCACCATATCTAAGGACTGGAAGGAATGGGGGGAGGGGGACAGCCACCAGATCTAAGGACTGGAAGGTATGAGGGGAGGGGCACAGCCACAACATCTATTGACTTCACTAGATGGTACGGGTGGGTGCACCCCTCCCCCATATCTTCCACCCCTCCCCCATATCTTCCATAATTAAGGACTGGAAGGTATGGGGGCGGGGTGCAGACACATTTAAGGGCTGGAAAGCTGCAATATATGTAATTTGTGTTCTTTGTTTTACATATATTTTATTGCCCCTGAATAACAATCAACAAGATTCAGCCAATGAAGGTTTCAGCAATGAGACTCAATACAATATCATTTTATATAAGTGTTCATCCTCTGAGACTCAAGAGTAAAAGTTGCTCAGATTGGCAGAATAGATAATATTGTATTGGGTTCTGGTTCTGTTGGGGTCTGAGGAACCTCATCTTTGATATCAATCCATGGAATGAGTCTCCATATCTGTCCACAAATATGACTCCACCCATCCTAATAGAGATATCTCTTCTTTCCCTTGTGACCCCCAGGCTACCACAGAAGACACAACGGAGCCCGATTCTAGCAGTAAAGAATCCATCAGTTATGGCCGGGCCAACCTCTACCTCAAGGACATCTATGTGGAGACCAAGAGCTACCTGTATATCCGTCCAGTGAAGAGTTCGGCACCATGTCACCAGAATGTGGCTGTCACGGTGGACTACTTCCTGGAAGGGGAGCAGGACAAGGGTTCTTTCCAACTCTTCTATCTGGTGAGTAAGACTTTTCTTCTCAAAACTATCTCACACCAACATGTACTCTCAGCTGCATTACCATGATGATACCTTTAAAGGAGAACTATGAGATGAGTGATTTTCACTCGCCTCATAGTTCTAGCCGACCTGTGACAATGAGACAATGAGGTGTAACAATGAGACTGTCACAGGTCGGCTCAGTAGATCGGGAGGCAAGAGAACACATACCGGCGCTCGCTCACCTCTCGATCCTGTCACGGCTCTCTGCCATGACAGGGGAGGGGCTGGATTCCCCTCTCCGATCCGCCAGCGCTGACTGGCGGAACGGACGGGGGAGGGGGCGGGTACATCCTTATAGATAAGCAGAGCCAGCTGTCACTCACGCAGCTGGGCGGATCCCGACGTCTAAGTCGTGATCCGTCCCGGCTGCGGCGGTCTCAGTATACCGCGAGTTGTAGCTCCCTATATACTGAGCTTAGGGTGACGGGAGGACGCTAGTTTGTGTCCTCCCGTTACCCTAAGGAGAACTATGGGGAAAGCCCTGACCTCGTACTTCTCCTTTAACCAATTTTTTTTAAATGTCCCAAGCTCAACTAAACCCGGAGAATGAAAACAGTGATAAATACATAAATCCCAAAATGTGAAGTTATCACTAATAACACAATAATCATGAAGTTCTTTAAAGTCCAACAATTTCTTCTTAATCCAACCGTGATTTTCCTTCTTTTCACCTCAACACGCGCCACCTTAGTGTTCACCCCTTAGACCCTCACACAGGGCTAGTATGGCTCAAAGACCACCCAGCAGGGGACCTGTCTCTAGATCTTATGACAACACCTCGTTCTTCCCCGGCCTATTTCACTCTTTGAATAAGATGCTTTAATTGAGCGCTGCACATTACGTTTCCTGAATACACAACATCTGAAAGGTGTCGGATTTGGGTAATGAGTTTCCCGTGTGGAATGACAAAGTGGCTTATTGTACCAGTTGTTTATGTGTAATATTGTAATTAGGGCTGTTACTGATTAAAATTTTCGTGTTCGATTAATCAAATTTTTTTAAAATCGATTAATCGATCAATTTAGATTAATTATAACGCACATACAGATCCAACTACATTGGCCTATACACATACAGCACAGCAATGAAGTAATAAAATGAACTAGGATCACACTAATCCAGCACGTTATTAATCTCACGCGCCCCACTCAATATGGCCGCCGCTTGAGTGGGGCAACTCAGAATAATAACGTGCTGGATTAGTGTGATCCTAGTTCATTTTATTACTTCATTGCTGTGCTGTATGTGTATAGGCCAATGCCTTGCTGTATGTGTATAGGTCATTGCTGTGCTGTATGTGTGTAGGTCATCGCTGTGCTGTATGTGTCTAGGCCAATGCCGTGCTGTATTTGTATAGGCCATTGCTGTGCTGTATGTGTGTAGGTCATTGCTGTGCTGTATGTGTCTAGGCCATTGCTGTGCTGTATGTGTATAGGTCATTGCTGTGCTGTATGTGTCTAGGCCAATGCCTTGGCTGGCGCTCGTGCAGAAAGTTTCAAAATTTTTTTAATTGATCAAAAAGATTAACGATTAATCTAGAAATGAATCGTTCATTTGCACAGCCCTAATTGTAATATTACATATTTGTTTTTTATTAGGATAAAAGTCCAACAAATTCCTGCACCCACGTAGCCCTACCCTTAAGGGGACATGATGGAAACCATTAGATAAATTAGAGAGGAACTTTACCCATATCTAAGAAATAACAACAAAGGCACCTTTAGAAATGTTTCGTGATCCACAAGCACATACTTCTAGATAATTGCCGGCTTTGTATTATTTGCGTACCTTGTTTTTTGTTTCCTCTCAATCCTTCTCACAGTGGCCATTTTTTTGATAAGGGCAGATTAATCCATCTCCCTTTACTTCCTGGAACTCTGGCACATGTGACTAGGACATGTGACCATGTACATCATCTCAGGGGAGGAAAATGCCTTTTCCTGAGATCTCCTGAGATTACAGATAAGATTTCCCAGCAATGCTCTGCTGATGTCACCTTTCCAGGATGCAATGCTTGGGCACATGACATCATTTGTGCCAAAGAGGACCAGGAAGTGGATGAACTCTATCTGTAAGTAAATGAAAACATGTTTTGTTTAACTAATGAATATAATATGGAAAGCTGCATGCTGATGTGATTTTAGTGAAAGGGAGGGCAGAATGTTTAGTATTCAGCTAAGAACAAGAACACGGTGACATGACTTCATACTAGCTGGAGGAAAGCTAACCTTAGAACGTATTATTGTAGAGAAGGAGTAGTGGATGCTGAGAACAGGATTCCAGCAGAGGTATGGAGACAAAGATAATCACGTCTATCAGGTTCCACCGATTGTGCTGTATGTGTATAGGTCATTGCTGTGCTGTATGTGTATAGGTCATTGCTGTGCTGTATGTGTATAGGTCATTGCTGTGCTGTATGTGTATAGGTCATTGCTGTGCTGTATGTGTATAGGTCATTGCTGTGCTGTATGTGTCTAGGCCAATGCCGTGCTGTATGTGTATAGGTCATTGCTGTGCTGTATGTGTGTAGGTCATTGCTGTGCTGTATGTGTCTAGGCCATTGCTGTGCTGTATGTGTATAGGTCATTGCTGTGCTGTATGTGTGTAGGTCATCGCTGTGCTGTATGTGTCTAGGCCAATGCCGTGCTGTATTTGTATAGGCCATTGCTGTGCTGTATGTGTGTAGGTCATTGCTGTGCTGTATGTGTCTAGGCCATTGCTGTGCTGTATGTGTATAGGTCATTGCTGTGCTGTATGTGTCTAGGCCAATGCCTTGGCTGGCGCTCGTGCAGAAAGTTTCAAAATTTTTTTAATTGATCAAAAAGATTAACGATTAATCTAGAAATGAATCGTTCATTTGCACAGCCCTAATTGTAATATTACATATTTGTTTTTTATTAGGATAAAAGTCCAACAAATTCCTGCACCCACGTAGCCCTACCCTTAAGGGGACATGATGGAAACCATTAGATAAATTAGAGAGGAACTTTACCCATATCTAAGAAATAACAACAAAGGCACCTTTAGAAATGTTTCGTGATCCACAAGCACATACTTCTAGATAATTGCCGGCTTTGTATTATTTGCGTACCTTGTTTTTTGTTTCCTCTCAATCCTTCTCACAGTGGCCATTTTTTTGATAAGGGCAGATTAATCCATCTCCCTTTACTTCCTGGAACTCTGGCACATGTGACTAGGACATGTGACCATGTACATCATCTCAGGGGAGGAAAATGCCTTTTCCTGAGATCTCCTGAGATTACAGATAAGATTTCCCAGCAATGCTCTGCTGATGTCACCTTTCCAGGATGCAATGCTTGGGCACATGACATCATTTGTGCCAAAGAGGACCAGGAAGTGGATGAACTCTATCTGTAAGTAAATGAAAACATGTTTTGTTTAACTAATGAATATAATATGGAAAGCTGCATGCTGATGTGATTTTAGTGAAAGGGAGGGCAGAATGTTTAGTATTCAGCTAAGAACAAGAACACGGTGACATGACTTCATACTAGCTGGAGGAAAGCTAACCTTAGAACGTATTATTGTAGAGAAGGAGTAGTGGATGCTGAGAACAGGATTCCAGCAGAGGTATGGAGACAAAGATAATCACGTCTATCAGGTTCCACCGATGGAAAGTTATAGATTGTGATAAACACAATTCAATACACAGATCTGAGAAAGGTAAACATGGGGGGAGGTGGATTGATGGCACACACAGTTTTTCTTTTTTGTGTGTATATTTAATGGCCCCTCCCACTGCGCACATTCCCAGCCAGTAATACATTGAATACCCTATTCTGACTTTCTACTTTATTGCAGGTTACACTGAACGGTAAAATAGTACAACAAGGCCAAAAGAACGTTCAAAGGTCAAAGAGTGACCGTAAGTTCCCTTCCCTGGATTTAGAATTGTCAGATGTGTTGTCATTGGATTTTGTACCCACAATCCTCTCTGCTCTCCCATATTGCAGCTCCGACTGGCTCGGTGGAATTCTCCCTCCCCATCCGGGATATATCTTCCTCTGGAAATATACTGGTTTTCATTGTTTCTGAGTCTGGCACAGTCGCTGCTGACACCACAACGGTCCAAGTTACGCCATGCCTGAAACATGCTGTGAGTGCCTCCTGAGCTGGTTCTGATCCTATGGATATTAGTATGGACCAAATGACAGGTTCTCTTGTAATCATCCCCTTCACCTTCTGATACTTACCTTCCCTCCATCAGAACTCTCAGTAAGTAATATGTGACCTTCTCCTAGGATGCAGTGCTCAGCCTTAAGGAGTAGATACACGTCAATCTCTAATGATGTGCAACACCCACTATGCTGCTGAAAGCTGTGATTGTTTCCTAGGCATTAGATATCATTAATGTTCTCTGTAGTAACTTTCATTTCCTGTCTTTCATGACAACACATAGAAACTTCTTTCTCAACATAACTGATATTGCCCTACTAATTCCCGTGAAGTGTGAATTATAATGCCGTCCTCCCGGCCGAAGCTTCTTTGGGGGGTCATAGGTGGCAGCAGTCTTGGAGACCCCTGATGTCTCCATAAAGAGGACCTGTCACATACTCTTTGCTTTGTTATCACATAAGGGGGTTTCTTAGCCTCCTATGTGATAACAATAAAGTTAAGTGGAAAAAAAAAGAAAAAAAAAATTAAAGTTGCCAAAAAAATAATAATTTTAAAAACACAAATCCCCCCCCCCCATACATACACGCATGCAAACATGCGTCGGGTGCGCATACGTGCAAAAACTATGATTGCGCCCATTACGCCGCATATGTTACATATCACCGCAAACATCGCAGTGAGACCAATAATTCTCGGACCATCAATCACTGATAACTCTGAACTGATGAGCTTAGGGTTAGGGCTAAGTGTCGCCTATGGTCAATTTTGGGTATGGTAGTTTTTTTGTGATTACGCACATTTGCCCAATTTTAAAGCTTGACATGTTTGGTGTATATTTACCCGATGTGACTCCGCCTTTTATATTTTACCACAAAATTGGGTAATAATCAATGTTTTATAACATAAAACTTATTTTTTTCAAAATTTTCAGTAAATTTTCCTTAATATAGTAAAAAATAACCCCCCCCTACCCCCAAGTGGTGATTAAATACCACCAAAATAAAGCTCTATCTGTCCCAAAAAAATGGTATAAAATTCATGTCAGTGCGGCGTTGTATGACGGAATAAATGTCAGTCAAAGTATCACAGCGCTGAATACTGAACAATGGGCGGGACAGGAAGGGGGTGTAACACTGCGGTCAGCACGCGGTTAATATATTTACTGGTTCCACCTCTCTGCTTTTTGTGTTTCAGGTGAACTTGAAGTTCTCTGAGGAGAAAGTCTTACCCAAATCAAATGTTAAAATGCATCTCCAAGCCAATAGTGGCTCCTCTTGCGCACTGCGTGCCGTCGACAAGAGTGTGGTTCTAATGAAGCCAGAGGATGAGCTGACCGAGAGCAAGGTACGCTAAGTCATGTTGTAAAGTTGGAGGAGATTGTAGACGTCATCTCTGGACAAGCCAGGAAACACAAATAATTAAACTGCATCACTGGAAACAAGTAAAGTTCATCTTAAACTAGCTGCCCCATCCTGCTGTACTACAAAGCAATAGACATGTGCGATTCGGTTCGTTCCGAAATTCGTTTTCGGACGAATTTTCGGAAATTCGGAGATTCGGATGCATCCGAATTCCGAACTAAAGCTAAGACGAATGCAAACGAATCCGAAATTTGTTATTGGACGAATTCCGTTGCAGCAAAATTACATTTTTTTTTTACAGTCTGCAGAAGATGAAAAAAAAAAAAGCGTGAGGTTCCCCCCAATTCATACCAGACCCTTTAGGTCTGGTAGGAATGTTAGGAGGGACACCCCCCCCCAGTTATAACACAAAAAAAAGTGCGTGGGGTTCCCCCCAAAATCCATACCAGAAGTTTAGGAATTTTAAAGGGGAACCCCAGCCCCAAAAAATAGGGGAAAAAACGTGGGGTCCCCCCTAACAGTACTACCAGACCCTTGATCTGAGCACTGGCCAGGCAGGGCAGGAAAGGGGGGGGGGGGGGG